TCGTATCTGTATATAGAGATATATAATATATATATTATTATCTATTTTATTTTGGACTATCATCTATTCTCCCATTTTTTATGCAATTTGTTTCTTCATCATTATCAACACAACAACAATAACAATAAAACAAAAACAAAGAGAAAAAAAAAAAAAGAATCAAGATCTGAGAGCTTTTTGCAAGATTTATATACAATTTTCTTCTGACTTCCAATACTTAACTGATGTTTTTGTGCATTCAGATCGGAGAGGAGGATCCTCCGTTTCTGGCTACAGGAAAGATGAATACAATTGGAGATATGACAGGATGAACCTTCAGATGATAGTAATTCGTGCTTCAGCCCGCTTGGAAAACCTTCAGTTAGACACAGAAAAGCTCGGAATCTAACCAGTTCTTGGAGTTTGTTTTGCAACCCCTAAATTGAATTCTTTTAGTTTCATCCAATTGCCCACTTCAGTTAATGCTTTCAAAAAGTGAGTATTCTGATAGTGATTGGACACCACATCAGACATTATTTAGGGAGCCAAAGTCCTCACTTCCTGGTTGTACTTGCTTACCAAAGCTCTAGATTTGTGGTTTGGTACATGAACAATGGGTGGGTTGGTGTTTTTGTTTTTTTTAAAAAATTCTTTTTTAATGAGTTGGATCTGACTAGTTTTTATCATCCTATATGCGTGGCCAATGTAGCGCCCAATTCCTTTTTGGTTTGACAGTGGCGTCTCTTTGACGTACTGTTGGCATTTTATTGAAACTTTATCTCAACTTTACTTTTGGTTGGCAGGCATTCTGGGGATGGAATCACCGAGGATGATGGCAGGGTAGACCATATGTAGCTGACTGACATTTTTAAATTACTGCACTGTGTACTTTGCTGTGTATTTTTATTCATCATTCATTCATCCGATGAGTTACTTCTGTCATTCGGATTGGGGTGGTGATGTTATGTAAGATTGTTATTAGTATTGGGAAATTTGTGATTTGGTGAGTTTTTATTTCATTGAGGTTGGTGTGAATTAATCTACAATTCAAAGACACTCTTGTTGATTCGAGTTTGAGATTGGGATAATACAATAGGTAGAGTCCTGTCCACCGGGTAGCGAGTTTAGTGTTGTAATGTGTGTTTATATATATATATATAATATAATGTTGTATGTGTGTTAGGGTCTATTATTATTACTATTCACAAACTAAAGTACTAGAGTTCCTTCTATTGATTGATTTTTTAATTTTTATTTTATTTAAAAATCAAAGGGAAAGTCTTGTGACTTGGAGGTTTGTCACTTGAGAGGGGATGATGACTAAGGTTATTGAATTTAAAAAAAGAAAAAGAAAAAGGGCGCTTGTAATCTGTTTGTTTATTCCCAAACCAAACCTGTTTTCGCAATCCAACTCTCTAGAGTTTCCAGATCACAATGATTTCTCTCTCCTCCTCTACCATCTTCGCTTCTAGAGTAACCTCTCCATCGCCATTACGCACAGATCTTGAATCTCAAATCTAAGATCTCTCTCCGATCTCACCCACTGAGTTTAGTTGTTTGTTTGCCTCCAAGGCCGCATTGATGGCAACGTCACGAAGCTCTGTGCCTACGTGTGAGAAATTCCTCAGAAGTGAAGCTGAATCTCTGCCAATCTGATCACAATCTCGACAGTGATTCAGACAATGATGATGATAACAAGGATTCAAACCCATTGCTGCCTTCGGCATTGATGGTGAGGAGCGGTGAAGGCAATTTAAGGTGGTGATTGATGAGGAAGATGATGGTGAGGAGGCAGATCTGGAGTTGAAAAGTTTAATAGGAGAGGGAAATGGCAGTGGTGGTGATGAGGTTGGGGTTAGGAAGAGGACATTGGCAAGAAAGCTTGGGGATGATTTTGATCAGGTAGTGACGGAGAATGGGTTGGGGAAGAGAAAAGCAAGTCCGGTGAAGAATTTAAGTGATGGATCGGAGATGGCGGTGTCGCAGATTCAAAGCTGAGGACTGAGGAGAGTGATGGTGGTGATGCTATCTATGGTTAAAGGTGGTTGAGGATGTGAAGAAAACGAATTCCAAGGGAAGAAGCTGAAGCGTGTTGGAGAGAAAGAGAAAGCTAAGAGTGTTGTTAGAGAGTGGTTTCTCCTACTCCTATTGGTAAAACCAGACCAAAAACCCCTTCATCACTTCTTATTTGTTAATTTAATTTAATTTTATTTTGGACAGATATTTGAATAAATAAAGAAATTTGAATTGAAAGATCAAAAATTAAAGGAAAAAAAAGTCAACAAAAAAATTAAGAGGTAAAATTAGAAACAAATATTTTTCAAAACAAATAAAATGATTTTCCACCAAAGTATTTTTTTTAAAATATGAACCTCTTACTATAAAAAATATCTACGAGCTTAATACTTTATATCCTTCTTAAGTTGAACTTTTACGCAATTATATCAAGAAAAAGGAATTGACTTTTTTGCCTTATTGTTTTCCCTTATTTATTTATTTTCTTTATCAGTTTCTGTCGTGTGGAAGTTTGCCTTTTTAGTTGATGGTTTTAGTTACATGTAAGTTTCTTTCAAGTTTAAATGTGAGTTTCAGAAAATATTTATATATTATTTATAAAAATTATTTAAGTAATAATCACAATATTTTTTAATCGTATTATTTTTTTTTAAAATGGATAAGTAAACTTTAAAAATAAATTATTAATTTATTTAGACATAAATACAATAAAACAAAAATGTTATAATTATTAAATTGACTTAATTTTTTTTGATATTTTTTATATTATATACTACATTTTTTTATTTTATTTTTGAGAATCTAATAAATCCACCATTTTGTGAGATACAAGTCTCAAGAATTTTAAGTGGAGTGAGTGTGAAAAGGGATTTTGTGAGTGTATTTTAGAATCACCCAAAAAAACCACAGATAAGCCAAGCAAACCAAAAGATTATAAATAAAGCCAGAGAGGCATTGAAATTCCCCAACCCATTTGAAAGACCACAATGTTCATAAAAGCAAATAATCAGAGTACACGAAAAGGTGATTTGTGTCGAACCAACATCTAAAAGCAGCCAAAATTTGACCCATGACCATTTTGCTCTTAAAATTAATACATTTCTTTTTTCCTTCTCATTTCAGCATAGGAAGCTTCTGATAATCAACTACAGTTTACATTCATAACATTTTTAACACTCTAAGCAATAAGGGGAGGAGCAGATTTGCCAGAATATCTGGTTGCATATCTCTTCATGTCCGACTCCCTGGATAGAAGTATTCGACACAATTTTCCTTGATCCTGAAGTGAAAATTACACATCTTCGTCTGTAGGGTTCGTGGCCATCACAAATCTTGTTCATTACTGTCAACTGATTATTATCACAACGAGAGGAAAAAATAAAAAAATCACCATGAGACAACCACTTGAAGAAAAGTAACACTAATTTTAAGAATGTATACTATCTTAGCACAAAACATGAGACAAATTTCATTATTGTCGAAATGCTCTTCTGGAATGTCTTCTCTGTAATATTAATCAACGAAAAGCATATTTGACAGGTAACTAAGAACCACTAACTTTACCCCAAAAAGAAAGAACCACTAAACTATATTGAGTTCTTGAAACTTCTCACAATAAACCAGAAAGGGGTTTATGTGGTTCTCTAAAGTTAAAAAAACAAAGTGAGATAAAAACTCTGGAAAATGTAATTTCATACAGCATTTATCACAACATACGTGTGCTTCAACAAGAAAACTGATCTGAATCCAAATAATTTGACCCCAAACATCACCTTAGACATTACAAGAAAAAACAAAAAAAAAAAAGAAATCACCTTAGAAGCTATGCTAAACATGTACTTAAAAGTAAATGAGACTTGGGTGCCTTACGGGAAATGATCTAGATGTAAAAAAAATTAACAAAATGACAACATAAGCAGTACGACATACAAAAAAATGGGTCAGTTTATGACTCATGATCTGCATTATGCTTCATTGTTCCATACAATAAATAAAATGGAGAGTACGATTCCAAAGCCGGCACAAATATAGATGTTATTTTCACATTTACAACCACTAAAGGTGTATAAATATTCATCAAAAGTTTTGTCAAACACGGTGTTAATCCTGAAATTTTACAATTCATTGTGCTGTTGAGTCCATATTGTGTCAAGCCATGTCCTTCTCAGTGCAATATAGCCAAGTGATTAGATGTTTACAAGTTAAAATATAAATATTACTTTTGCCCATTTTAACATTATTGCTGTTTTCTTTGACTCTATGAAGTAGTAAAATAAGATTAGTTGCATATACCACAAAAAAAATGCAATTCAGAAATCACTACAATACAATGATACCTGTCGTGCACATCAGCTGCCAAACCATGGCAAAGGTTCTGCCCTTATGATAACTTCTGCAAGGTACTCCATTTGTAAAATAAGGG